TGTTACCATACGTTTGATCCAATTCTTTGTCAATCATTTTGATGAATTCCGGCAGAAATGACTTGTCTTTGATTTGAGTGACAATTGAGTTCATTGTCGATGTGTTCACTGGTATTCCTCCGGGTCTCAGATCACATGAAATGCTTTGTCAACAAAACAACCAATTCTTTGCACTTTTCAATGACTTTTGGTTTGAATTTACAGTTTAATAGTGACTGAACTGCTCGTGACTTACGCTCATTGGCTGCATCTCACCACTGCTTACGCTATGATTCACACCTCAATCAACACATTATGTAATGTTCAACATTTGCATCAATCATCCAAATTTGCCAATAAGTGTGAGGTGACCAGGAACAATTTGCTTTCTATTACTGTACTCTTAGTTCATAAGCAGAATGTCACTGAATATATCAAACACTTTTAAATTAACTTGTAAGTTTGATTATGGAAATTTTATTAATTGTATTGTAAGATGTACATCATATCGTAAAATTGAAATACACTATCAAATGAAAAATTAAGATTATTGTTATAGTAAAATCATCAACTAGTAAAATAGTATATTTCATTAACATTTTTATTGTATAATTTAAACATAAAACACAAGAATATTCTGGAAAATAAAACATTTCAACAGTATTTCTATAAGCATTTGTATGAATGAATTCTTGACGACTATATTCCTCTTGCAATGCAAACTAATTAATAATAACTAAGTGGTGTTGAGGGCCCACACGTATGGGTTCTTTGAAATGCCAGTTCCCTTCACTTATCAGATCCAATAGTCCGTCCACACTATCCATGTCGTGCAACCATTCATTAGTGTGGACTCTATGCTCGTAGTCCTCCAAAAGAATTTGTCTTAATTTGAGGAAATGTCTGATCCATATCTTCTCTGTTTGTAAAATCATTTTATCCTTTTCTTTGGACTCATTTCGAGGAATAATTGTCTTAAAAGTGTTAACTGTTTTATAGACACCGTGTTGTGATATTGTGTCATAAATAATACATTTACTTAAGGCTGATCTCAAATTCAAAGTAAACGCTAATCTCATTGCGGGTCTGGAATAGGATTTAATAATTTGTTAATTTATTAAAAATATCAAATAAAACATTATACTTGGTACTTTTAAAATAAAAACATTATATTTACCGGTAATACAACTCATCGTTGACTCTGTCCTGAATTATTCTGAAGACAGGATCACTTGCACTCGACTTCCAGGCCATAGGAAAGCCCTTCAAATTAAGGACATCACTGCTCTTATTATCCGCTAGTCTTTTGAGTTGGTCTTGGAATGGGACCAATAGATTGAAAGGTCTTCGAAATGAATATTTTCTGACCACATGATAGACATCACCAGATTTAGTGGTGAAGAGACTCCTTCCGGCTGTGAGTCCATTGCCATCATTGAAATGATCACAGAATCCATAATTAAATTGTGTTGAATTGAACTTAAAAATGTTGACAAATTGTTCACATTTTCTCTTTTGATCGTCACTTAAATTGAATTCAATTCTTGAGACAAGTATTAAAAGAAAAATAACTTTTAAAGTTAACATTTTCGAAAATGTGATCAAAATGTGCTGTTATTAGTATTGAATCAAATGAATTATACAGAATTGAGTTTCTTTGTAAAACTTTGAGGAAATAAATACTCAATCCTTTCATAAACTCCTAAATCTGTTTCACAAATACTTATCTGTTGATGATTTTAATAATAAAAGGATTAGACATCAAATACTACAGTATTTTTCAGTACGTGCAAAAGGATACGAATTAAGATTTGACCTGACATTAAATTTTGTTGTCCTGGACATTTTTAAAAGAATATTAACATCAAACAAAATTGTTTTATTTTTAATATTAAAATTTATTTATTAAAAACACTAAAATGGTAGAAAAAATCTTGAAACAGTATTAAAAAACTCAAAAAGTTAAGTGCTAACTTAACAGTGCTAAATGGGGAACCTCGTTATATGTTAGCAAATTGTGCCAGGATTGTGACATGCACACTTTACAATTAATTAACATTATAAATATAAACGGCAATTCACAAATACTTTGACGGCAATTAACCGTCAGATTTGATGCAAAGTGTGGTTATGCTTACGGAAAATATAAGTCTATAAATTGATATAAAAAATTACTGTATGATTTAATAGCCATCCATATTTATAATGTTATTTAATATATAAAAGTGCATATATATAAAGGGTGTTATTACAGATTAGCCTGGCACAATTTGCTGACACCTAACGAGGTTCCCCATCAAGTTATTTTAGAAATTTCTCTCATTATTTAAACAACAAATATTTAGCTTTTAATCCATGATTTATTTATTTTATTTTTTATCTTGAAACATTTATGGTATGTTTGATCAAAAATTCAATTTAAGTATTTTCTTAATGGAAAAATTAAAAAATTATGTAACTTATGAAGTGGAACTAGTACCACTAGTATCACCCACTCCACTTATAATATAATTTGTGTACAAATTTTAAGAAATCTCGTTAGATTTATTGATTAAAAAATACTTACAAACATGCAAACTAATAATTATTAATGTTTTAGAGCCTATTACTTTATAATGTTTACAGGATTTAAATACTGTTTGGAATTACAATATTAAGAAATTTGTATTTGACACGAATGCTTGAATCAAATAAATTACAAAATAAAAAAATTCCAATAGTTTTAATGAAACATATAAGTGATTATATTAATATAATAATCAATAATGTCGGTATAGTATGTATTGGCAAAGTTGGAACATTACTATTAATACAGTTCATTCATTAATTTACAAAATGTTACCAAGAATTTTTAAAAATTAATGCCTAATCTTATACATTGAAAAATGTTATCAAAGATTATTATTTTTAATTTTATTGCGATAAATACGTTAATAATTGTAAGAAGCGATGAGTGCATTAAATATGATAAGTTTGAATCTGCTTTTAGGTCAGCATTAAAATCCTCTAAATTAGAGGGTCCGGTCAAAAATGATAACAATATGCAAACCGATGGAGGTAAGCACAATTTTAATTACTATTTTTAAGCAAATGTTATTATATTTTTGAATTCAAATACATTTAGAAATTAATTATAAAAGTATTGTATGAGTAAATGTGTGTTACTTTTAGAAGTGAAAGCCTCTGATTTAGAAAACGACCGAGAACAAATCAAACGAATACCCGAAAGTAAGTTAATGAATAACTTATTTATAAATTATCCTGTTTAATTTAAGAATTGCTTGTATACTGTACTGTATTATGTTTTTATTGTATTTAGATGGTGGAAAGCCTGTCAATATAAATATGACTTTTTATATCGATGACATTAATTCAATATCTGATGTTGATATGGTATGTCCTCTACAGTAATATTTCAGAATATTATAGTTTTTAGTTATAAAAGAATAAATGTCCATGTTAAGTGTAATACAGTTATGAGTGATAACTTATGACAATAAATCAATATTCAATTTTCACTTATTTTAATCGTAAAAATAAAAATTTAAAACAAAATTACTAGAATAAGTAATTGAGAATATTATCATTTTGATCATTAAATATTGACTAAGGAATTAAATTGATTTTCATTTTCTAGATTATTCTAATGATTTTTATTCTTATTATATATTCTTTGAATTAAAATATATTATTATACTTTTGCGTATATATTTTCACTAGATACTGTATTTATGAATGTTTTCTAAAATTGATAGGATTTTAGGGTTGATTACTATTATCTTCAAGAGTGGATGGCTATGAGAGATGATTGTGAAAAGTATAAGAAATCAATGACTGGTAGAGGCATGAAGTTGGCTAATGTGAGCCAGCACAGCCCACTGATCGTGACCCACGATCATTTCGATTTGTTTTGGTTGCCCGACGTTATGATATCTAACTCCAAAGAAGTGAAACAACAGTCAGATCTCGTCAAGACAATCCTCCTTCAGATATATTTCGTGGGCAATGGCGAAGGTTTGTTGCCATTCAGTAACTATCTGTCAATTGTATTAACAATTATTAATTATTAACTATTATTAATTATGTCAACTATTATAATAGTTGTACGAGTTGGTAAAATAATGGTATTAATAATATTACATTGGTGCAAAAGTTCTCGCCGAAATTGTCATAGAACACAATGTTATAACAGGCGAGAACTTTTGCACCAATGTAATATTATTAATACCATTATTTTACCAACTCGTACAACTATTATAATAGTTTGTTATAGTAGTTTATAATAGTTTATAAACTAAATAATATAATGAAATGTTTAACGAAACACATTTGAGAGCAACTGTTTTCTAAATGAAAATAGTTTAATCAATTGAAATGATTTGTAGAGCACTGTCACATGGAATATAAGGCCCGTTACTATGCGATCGTGTCGTGTCCGATGGACTTTCACGACGCGCCTATAGATCTGCAGACCTGTTCAATCCAAATGAGAAGCTGTGAGTTTGCAATTCATCTCATTATTTATTATAATATTAACAACAAATTGAAAAAAGACTTTCCAAAACCAACTGTTAGTGATCATACAATACAACTGATTTTATATGACTGTATTGTTCTTAAAGTTGCGTTCAATATGGAAAAAATTCAATTGAATTGGACTGAACAAGTTGAGTTTAACCCCGATTTGAGACTTCTGGAGCACGACTACAAGTTATCACAAGGCTCTACGAATATCACTATATTTAATGGTTTGCTTAATTGACAATATGATAATTATTGATTACATCATGATAGATGATGATTGATCATGATTAAGGTTGCACGGCGCGTAATATTACGCATTTTACAGTGTAATATTGCGTCATATTACGCGTAATATTACACCTCCAAAAGCATTTTACGTAAAATTGAATCCATGTAAGAACCATATTTAGTGTAAATTTTCTTAAAATAAAAAATTATTCAATATTTTATTAAGAAATGCAATAACTTGACATTAGATCTGAAAATTATGTCAATTTATACCTAATAAAGGTATGTTAATTAGTTAAAATTTAGTCGATGATTAGTAAAACCGCTTGATTCTTATCAAAGATCACTATAAA